CTTGATGTTTTCTTTTTCCCCATTTCTTTGACAATGTGCTCAGCTGACATTTCATGCTGTCTCAAAAGGAATGAAAGATTTTTTTTCTAATCACTACTTAGATGATCGATCCTTCCTGTGTTCCAAAAAGGCGACGGTAAAAGTAAATAGAACAGTCTTTTTACTGTAGGCTACCCATGATCTGACGTATTTGGACAAAGACACGGCTGAGCAAACATGGCTGCTACGGTTTGTCAATTTTACAGAAAGAACTGTATTTCACTCGCGCCCTCAACCATGTGCCTGTGTTTTCATCTCAGAGGAAGAAGAAGAATCCTTGTTTGGGCCTGCCCACTAAGGGATTTGCCCACGACGGCCGACTGAATTTCAAACATGTTTGATTTTCTCCCGACCTCACGATTTCTGTTTGGGAGGTGGTCGTGAGTGGTTGATCGCCCCTTGTTAACGTTACACAACGCACGACGCACAATCAGGCTGAAAGTCGGCTCGATTGAAAAATTCCAGCACGACTTGAAAGTCGTCCCGAAAAGGGCAAGAAAACCGTACAGTGTATGCCCGGCTTTATGTGTTCTCATTTCAGAGGGCCCCATGCCTTCCTTTGCCAACACCCCCAAATTTCTTAAATCCGCCCCTGAATAGCCTTAAATGGTAGGAAAACGCTTCCTTGTATCCTTAGATTGTACCGGCGGGCTTTTCTTTTCTTTAATTTCTTCTGCTACTCATGCCCCCAAACCACCCTGGGTTATAGATATTCAACCCCACATCAAGGTTATTACTGGATTTATAATATATTCACCAAAAGAAACAAAACTTTACAGTTTCTTCATGAAGAAACTGTTTCTTCCAAGAAAAAAAGATGGAAAATCCTTGAATAAGCTGCCATCCAGTAGAAACTTCCAACTGGTCCATAAAAATGGTGTGATAAAAATCTATATTTGTTTTAACAAAGCTTTGACATTTTTCCATTGTGCTGGTGAAGGTTCTTAGTCATCCAGGTCATAGTCATTCCAAAAAAGTAAAAAAACAAAAAACGTTTCGCTTCCCATCCAGGAAGCTTTTTCTATTCAAAATGTCAGAAATAGCGTTGAGTTTCAGTTTGGTCCACTCTATAAAGCCTCAACGCTATTAGTGACATTTTCAATCGAAAAAGCTTCCTGGATGCGAAGCGAAATGCTTCAAACTTGAAAACAAAGTCCAGTAAATGTTTTTTTTTTTTTTTTTTCTTTTTGGGGAATTTTCCAGCATAAAAAAAAATCCCACCTTTTTAGGAGAAACGAATTTCTAAAATGTGGCAAAAAGAAAGGATGCTAAATGACTGGCAGCTGGTGATACAAATGCTTCCAATCAGCATCTTGAGGAAAGATCCAGATTCTCTAGAGTTACGGACTTGCTAGTTAGAAAAAAATACTTCATTTTTAAAATTCTGCATTATTAAAATAGGAAAGTTACAGAAATACAGTTTATTGAAAAAAATTTTCTGCTTTATTCCACAGCTGCACCGCAGTCCTGGTGAAAGCAGAACCTCCTCAGCTGCTTCAGAGGAATGTCGCACAAGTGGAACAACAGCGCCATCTACAGATCGTGAAGCCGAAGGTCAGAAGGCTGGAGATGAGGAAAGAAAAGAGAGAGGACAGACCTTTGAGGCTTTACAGGATGTGTCTCAGAATGACTCGACCCAAACAAATGAAAAAGACCAAAAAAAGAACCCAAAACGCACAAACTAGAAACATCCAAGCCACACAGGTCAACTGAACGGGACTGTAACAGAGCGGGACAGAAATGGGACATTGTGAAATAACTCATACAGGCAACCTTATAGAAAAGCGGAAAATCACTTTTTTTTTTTAGTTCTTTTCTTTCTCAGTTCACAAAGATTATTTATTTATCTTTTTATTGGACTCAATCTTAAAGTTATAGTTTTCTGTCCGCACAGTAAAAGTTAACCTCAAAACCAGTCAGATAAATCACACATTTACTATCCTCAGTAAAGCCAAGGCTTCATATTTCCGCCTTTAACAGTAAAGCAGTCAGATTGGTTCAGTTTTCTATCAAAGGAAAACCAGCTGATTGCATCGACTCATTTCCTCGCAGACAATCCCTCACACTAAGCATGCTTGTAGCGACAGTGGAGAGGAAAACCACCCTTTAACAGGAAGAAACCTCCAGCAGAACCAGGCTAAGTTTTAGTTCAGACGATTGAAAGGAAACAGAAGAAGCTGATAAAACCTACAGGCAGAAGATGTCTGAGGCAACACAGATATAGCTAGACTTTTGTTACATTATTGTTGCAAGAAAAGAGCGTGTTTGTAAATGGAAATAAAAAACAAAAAGCCATCCAGAAATTAACACAAAAAAACTAAACTTCTTAATCAAAAAAAGGTCATGAGAGAAACTTTGCTGTTTTCTCACATTTTATTTTATTTTGATAAGTATCATTGTTTCAAACTTTTTTCTTCACAGATTTTTTATTTTCAAATGTAACTTCTCAAGCTTTTGTTTTTCAGAGTCTCAGTTTCACAAGTAGCTTTTTTTATTTCATTAAACAGATCACTTTTTTTTTTTTTACTTCAAACCCTTTACAAAGACTTTCTGCAGTATGCAGAACAATAGAAATGCATCTTTGCTCCTCATGCCAGCGCTGCCAGAGGTTCAGAGGATTTGATCTGTAAAACACATTTAGAAAAGAATCCATTTGTAAAACCCAGCATAGAAAATAGAAATTTGAAAATAATTCTGAAAAAATGTATTAGAAAAATGGACAAAAATTAAATAGGAGCTTTTTTTGAAAAATCAAAATGATAAAAAAAAAGGAAATAATTCTGATAAAATAGCTGACAAATAGATGTTTGTCAAAGTTTAATTTCTGAATTGCATTGTTTCAAATTCCCCAAATATTTATATTTCAAATTTTGTTTTAATTTTTATTTGAAATGTGTTCTTAGCTTGCAACAATAGAGGAGCATATTTAACTCCACAACGACAATTATCTTTTTTCCATAGAAATACATGTTATTACGCCTTAAGACCACAGGAGGGCAGTGATGTCCAAACTTCAGTAACTCAGTGTTGTTTTATTCATAAATAATATTATTTCCCTCAACATAATGAGGGTATTTTTAAATAAAAGGAAAATA